AAAAACTAAAATTTGGTGTTATGCCTTCGAAATACTAAGCTCTAAGTCTTAGAGTGGTATGCCTTATACTGGATGCATATAAGTAGTCTTTGTTATACACCCTTGCATCTTATATTAATTTTGTTTGATTTTCCTATGTGCTCATTTTCCTGTATGTCAACTTCTCAGTCTAAACTGGCAACATCAACTCTGCAAGAATCCTCGTCCAAACCCTGATATTAAAACACTCTTCACTGATCATTCTTGTACTCCTCCAACCAATGGAGCTCGTCCTCCTCCTCCTACAAACAGTCCTCTTGTTGGACCAATTCCTAAAGCTGGAGCTTTTCCTCCCGTTGGTGCCCCTGGTGTAAGTATTTCCAACGACTTGGGGGCTGGATAAAAAACTTGCAACATTCTAACACAATAGTTTCAATAATTCCGCATTTGCAGCCATTTCAGCCTGTTGTTTCCCCATCTCCTGGTGCTATTGCTGGTTGGATGTCTGGCAATAATCCTTCCTTACCGCACCCTGCTGTGGCGGCTGCGCCTCCTGGTCTTGTGCAGCCTTCTAGTGCTGGTTAGGATGATTCTAACTATGTAGTTCTGATTCATTTGTGTCTCTGTTGGTCTGGCTACCTGATAAAATTTTGTTGGTCTTTTCTGATGCATGCAGCTTCATTTTTGAAACATCCAAGGACTCCCTCTGGTGTGGCAGGGATGGATTATCAATCAGCTGACTCAGAGCACTTGATGAAGCGCATTCGCACTGGCCAATCTGATGAGGTGCTAATAAACGAGGCAGTTATTTATTCTATTTTTTTATATTGCTTCTTGGTACTTGTTGAATTTACACACTTAATAGCTGTAACAATTACAGCTGCTTTTTATTAGGTGGTTGTAATTTTTTGAGCTGTCCTTACCCCTCTCTCTCTCTCTCTCTCTGTTTCTCTTGTATGGAGTTAAAAATATTCATTTACAATGTCTCTAGGTGTCCTTTTCTGGTGTAACACATGCTCCAAATGTCTATTCACTCGATGACCTTCCAAAAAATGTTGTGCGGACACTTAATCAAGGTTCCATTGTCACGAGCATGGACTTTCATCCCCAACAGCAAACGATTCTTTTAGGTTGATCCCTCATTTTTGTTGACCTTAAAAGGGAAGTGTTAGGGCATTTTACTTGAGCTAAGTTATTGTTTGCAGTTGGCACAAATGTTGGTGACATCAGTATATGGGATGTTGGCTCACGAGAAAGGTTGGCGCATAAACCATTCAAGGTTTGGGATATCTCAGCTTCTTCGATGCCTTTGCAGGTATTGTTTATTATATGTAATTAATTTCATGTGAATATCACAAGGTTGACTTTTTCCATAAGCCCCTCTCATCTAACTTATCTGAATTTACTATGAGTTACATGGGAATTCATGAATTTGGGATATCTTATGCAATATATGATTGCATCTCTTCGATTAGCCTTGCTCATCAATCAATGTTTTATGATTTTGGATTAGAGATTGATTTTTCTCTGCTAAGGGAAGAAACTAAAATATTTTACTTGTTATTTTGTTGAAGAAATAGTGCATGTAACTATAGGGATAATAAGGGATAAGAAAAGGTAAACTATAGGATCTTTTTAGTTGTGATATAAAAGAAGATATATTAGAAAGGAAGAAAGAGATACAAATAAGGAGGATCATGTATCCTCCAAAAAGCAAGAGAAAAAATAGAGAGAGGCAAACTAATAACTAGAAAGAATAGCAGGCTGTTTCCCTACTTAAAACAGATAAAGAAACATTGCTAAATTGACATATTACTAAATTCTTATTTTTTGAACTAAAAGTTTAGTATGTATCATTTACAAGCACCAAGGGGGTAAAATTATTTACACTTCAATCAGGATGTGTATAAGATTCTCAAAGTCTTTTGTAGTATGCAAGAGTGATCTGTAATTAATAAGTCCATGGGTTGGAACCTTCTATTTCTAATCCTATCAAGATTGAGAAGTTTTCATGGGGAAGTTCAAAGGTCAAGACTTTACATCATTTGCGACTTTAAAACTTGTGGACGAGTTTTCTCTAACTAGGAGAGTAATGCATAATGAGCTAGTTCTAGATTTCCTAATTAAATTATAAATTGTAGTTATATATTAAATGTAAAACAACTAAACTATTTAGTAGTCTATTATTATATTATTTAGGAGTATTATTATAATTTTAGAAAGTTAATATTTTATTTTTTTAGAGTTAGAGTTTATTGTTATTAGGATTATTTTCTAGTTGTATTAGGATTGAGGTTCTTAATTCTATTAGTTTGCTATTTCCCACTTTAATTTTAGTTAGAAATTAGTATAAATAGTTTGCAATATCATTTGTTATTCATTAAGTATTCAATAATATCTTTGAGAATTTCTCATAACTGATTATATGACTCAATCAACACTTAGATGTGATGCCTAAGAACCCTATATGTGATATTTAACTCTTTTCCTGAGTTCTTAATAGGCAAAGCAGCCCTAATTTGTCCTATATCATTAGCTAT